GTGAGGTTGTTTTCGGGATTGTGAGTGTATAAAAGCTGAGCATTTTCGTACTCGAGTCGTTGTTCAATTGCATATCAAATTCATATTTTACTCGATTCACCAAATATCATCTTAAAAGTTCTCTCGTCCTATTAAATCGTATTTTATTATCAATCTATCAAAATGAAGTATTCACACCCTCACTCTGAGCACCATGATCACCACGATCATCACCACAACCACCACACAATGAAAGCCGTCGAGTTCGAAGGCAAAGCCTTCGATATGAAAGTCAGAGAACTTCCAATTCCGAAAGTTCGCAAGGCTCATGATGCAATCATCCGCGTTACGTCGACTGGTATCTGCGGTAAGTCCCAAATACATGTTCTGAGCTCGGGGAACCACTTCATCCCGGCGCTTCAGCAACACTGTCATCTGCATTTCTCTTAAATCAGCAGGATACTGACATGGCTCGCCACAGGAACCGACCTCCACGTTTTCCACGGCCGCGTCCCAGTCAACCCACCCATGACAATGGGCCACGAAATCGTCGGCATCGTCCACTCCATCGGCTCCAAAGTCAGCGACCTCAAAGTCGGCGACCGGGTCATTGTCTCGGGCATCATAATGGACGATAAACTCGGTGGTGACGATGATGACGAAGTCGTCGGCGGTCTTGGAATCGGGGATATCCCAGGCTTTTTCCAATTCAACGGAGGACAGGCTGGCTATGTGCGAGTCCCGTTCGCAAGTGACAATGTGTTGTTGTTGCCGGAGGGGACGGAGAATGAGTTGGATTATGTGTTGTTGGCGGATATCTTCCCGACGGCTAATTGGGCTTTGGATGCGTCTGGATTTAAACTTGGGGATGTGGTTGTTATCTTTGGGGCTGGTGAGTTTTGTTTACTTCTCCTTACCAATGTTGTCCCCATCCTCATCTCTTGACTTTTATCACCGAATAAAGCCGAATTCCTCAATTGTCCTAGCTATTTGCAAATTAGAGAACTCACAATACTAAAATAGGACCCGTTGGACTTCTCGCTGCCTACTCCGCCTTCCTCCGCGGCGCGAGCAAAGTTTACAGCGTCGACCGCGTCCCCGAACGTCTCGCCAAGGCCAAAAGCATCGGCGCCATTCCCATCGACTTCAGCAAAAGCGATCCCGTCGCTCAGGTACTGAAGCATGAACCGGAAGGAGTAGATCGCGCATGCGACTGCATCGGCTACGAATGCGTGGATGCGAAGGGAAAGAATGTTGGGAATTTGGTGCTGACGCAGGCTGTCCATGTTACGAGAGTTGGTGGCGGCATTGGTGTCATTGGCGTTTATCTTCCGCAAGATCCTCGTAAATTTCTATCCATCCTTGCTGTTCGAATTTTGAAGCTGATGATATATGTACTGTACAGGTGGAGCAACACCGGCTCTTAAGAAAGGCATCTTCGAGATCCCCTTTGGCGAATCCTGGTTCAAGGGTCAAACTATCCGGTCCGGTATCGTTCCACTCCGTGAATACCAGCCTGCCCTCCTGAAGATGATTCAAAGCGGACGGGCCAAGCCGAGTTTTATCATTGATCGAGAGTTGAGAATTGATGATGCGCCAGAGGCGTACCAGGAGTTCTCGGATCATGACTTCATCAAGAGTGTCATTCGATTTGGGAATTTTGACGAGAAGGAGTCGAGTAGTGATATCGAAGAGGAGGAGGAAAGACCACTGAGGAAGAGAAAGAGAAATGGTTTCACTGCTTGAGTGAGTCCGAGACGGGAAAAGGGAGGACGAATTGTTGATGATTGAAAATGGAAGCTGATGGAGTGTAAGAGTGTTCGATAACGGTATTAGTAAAAAAGGAAAGCCCACGCTCATTTGCACAATGCCGTGGATTGATGATTCTTGAAATTGCTGGATTCGATATGTCGCTGATAGCTGATGACGCTGTGTCCACAAACTGCTTGCTTCATGAAGAGGTATCCATTAATTGGAGATTTAATGTCCAGAACTTGAGGAAACTGAGGGCCTTTCGGAACAGGTTTGATGGTATGTCACTCAAACAACACCCTGATGCCTTTACTATCCATTGACGGCTGCGGCAACAGGAAATCATACTTGGCATCAACATCCAGTCGAGAAGTCTCATATAACTGCTGGTTACTGAAACGCCGAAACACAGTCGCTAAAGTCATGTTGATCTCTGCTCTGGCAAGACTTTTGGCTTCTTAGTCAGATACTCGAATCAATTTATTCAAAGCAAGAAAGTCTTCGTGGGAGATGATGGCAGCTTACTTCATACCAACACACTGCCTAGAGCCTTTTGAGAAGGCAACCAGGTAGCGCTCAAGTGGAGGTGCACCTTCCGCTCGAGGCTCAAGCCACCGCTCAGGCTTGTATGCAAACGAATCGGGAAAGATGCTCTCGTTGTGGTGCATGAGGTAGGATGTCATACCGACAGGAGTCTAATGCGAAGTCAGTAACAGTATCCCCAACTTACATGGAACAGATTGAGCTTACCCCTGCTGGAATTTCCCAGTCGTGAAATTTCATCGATTCAAAAGGATGTGAGCGCTGCATACGGCCGACAGCTCCATAGGATAATCTTTTCGATTGTCAGTGGGAGGCGTCGTGATTCAAATCCAAATTAGAAATCATACTAACCTCAAGCCTTCTTGTACCACGGCATTCTAGAGTAGAGGTTAGCTACAAAATTAAAAGTATTTCTGTGCTGCTCACAAGATATGGGAGTCGCTCAACGACAGAGAGTTTTGTTGGAAGTGAGGGATCAGGCATGGCGGCGATGAGTCTAGGTACAATTCAGTATCACTTACAGACACCGCGACACCGGGCGGGACATTGGACTCACTCAAGTCGAAGTTTGTTCAACACGTGAGGGTTATCCAAGATGTGAAAATGCGTGATGGCGATAGTAGCGGCCGTGGTGTCAGCTCCAGCACCAATGACAACCTGTCCCTCTTGCCAAATTCTGGAATGTGCTTTCTCGTCCGCGGGCAGATCGGATTCGAGAAGCGCGTGGATGATGGTTCTGTCCATGCCAAGATCGCGTTGTTCCTGAGTCGACTTGTATTCTCCGTCTATCACTTTCTGGGTATCGTCTCGAACTTTCTGTCTGGATGTTAGCACGATGGCTATAAAGCTTCCTGCAAGTTGATCGATGCACCTGTTGAAAGTCGAATAGCATTCCCATGCCGGGATTCACGGCCCGAATCAGACTCAAAGGCAAAGCCTGAGTGAGGGGCAGAATCCATGGGAAGTATTTCGCGTACGCAGCAGTCTGAATAACTCCATGCATAGTATCAACCCAGAACGGCGAGAAATCCGGATCATCCAAATAATTCCAGCTCCTGTTCATGGCATACAGAGTGATGATATCAGTAGTCAGACACATGTAGACGGCCTTCATTTCCATTGGCGTGCCAGCTTTTCGGCATCCTTCGATCCGATCACAAAGCTTCTGAACCATGTGATTCATCATGGGTTCGAGCTTACTGACATTTTGCTTCGAGAAGAAGGGACTAATTGCTGCACGGCGACTGCGGTGGAATTTGTAGTCTACAGTTGCAAAGGTGGAGCCTGGGAGACCGAATTGCGCGACGAAAAAGGAGTATCTATCGCGCGGTTTGTGGGAAGAGTAGAGTTCTTCATAGTAATCTGGGTCGTCGATGTGAAGCTCGTACGGGCTTATTCTGATAATTGGTCCTTTCGACATTGGTATCAGCTGGCAGGGACAATTGAAGAGAGTTTGGGAAGAATAAAGCGACAAACCATATTCTTTGTGGAGATCTACGATCTTGAATGTGTATTGACCCTTCAGAATTATATCGTAGTAAAACTCGTACAGTAATGTTGTGGCAGCAAGTTTGGGCCCTGGAAATCTTGAAAGAGGGCCGAAATAAACACTGTAAATTGTCCTGGCAAGGTAGACGACCGCGTATAAGACTGCGAACCCCACAGCAACGTCATATTGGGTCCCTGATAGAACTGACATCCTGAGCTAGATTTTGAGGACAGAGGACTTTGAATGAAGTGATAGATGTCATGTGGCTCTTATATGGAACAAGTTACCAACTACCCAAGATAAGAGGCCCTGTAGAGTCCAGCGGGACAAGATGATAGCATGCATGAATAAAAACAATTGGTTCTTAATACCGGAGAGATTCTTGATGAGGCAAGGCTCAATTGGAAGGACTGCCTCCCAGTGCATCCGTATGCAAAAGCTGCATGCTTGTGCATGTCCCCAGCGGGATAGCCAATCCCAGATGCGCCATTGCAAACAGTGCATGCACGTCGCGGCCGCATAGTGGTGTGGCCTGCAAGAGAGCTGGAAGAGAGCCTTTCGAACCACAAAGTTATATTTACTGGAATTCTCGCTTTAGGTTCTGAGCGCTAACGCCCTGTATATTTCCTCATTTGTAATCTCATAATGCGAGGTTGGGACCTTGGGTGTGTGGAGGTTGATTCTCCTCTGACGCTGCGGCAAGCCACTGTGGCCCCAGTGACCGATGCCGAACATCAGGCTATTTCCATCCTGACCTTCAAGGCATGCTTTTAGTGAAGTCTGGTTATCCTTCACTAGATGAAAGTCCAAGTAATATTCGACACAACCAACAAAGCTGCCCAATACGTCTCAACTCTACAAGGAGGAAGGAAAATGTGATTTTCAACTCTTGGTCCAGGCTCACTGATACTGTCTCGTTTCATTGTTCTTTCATCTTCGAGATTGGAGTGGACTGGAGGAGAACATCTACATCCTTCACAAAGAAGTCGTTTTTGCTCTTCGTCTTCATTATCTTTGTAGCAGTACCCTTTACCACCATCTGTCTATACTTACCTAGAATTGCTGCCCAGCTCAGCTCTCCACTAAGAGCGTTATACGACCTATTTCCCAGTATCCCGACCCCGCTAGTGGGTCAAGTAGGTCAACAGCCAATCATGTCTGATAGTATGTTCCAGTCAGCGCCAAATTTTTTCTGGCTTTCTAGTAATCAAATAAGCAAATTAATGGCATCAAACATGGTCGGGTGGTGTAGTTGGTTATGTTCGTGCCTCCACCTGATTTAATGAAGTCATTCTAATTGTTAGCAGCACATCTCGTTAACAGTTTACTGTAACAAAAAACCGAGAAGGTCCTGGGATCGAGCCCCAGCCTGATCATTGATATCTTTTCTCTCTTTTGACTTATTTTTTTGTTAGAAACGTTCACTTCTTCGCTTTTTTTTAAGAAAAAGTTCCACACCATTAATCTCCCCACCTTTTGCTCATGTGAGGAAGAATTTTCAAAGTTTGTGAATGCCGAGCTTCAAGCGAATTTTTGTACCCCGCTATTGACCCCATCAGAGCTTCCCCTATTCTCAACGAGGAGCAATTTTTCTTTTGATACTCGTAGTAAAAGCAGAGAGAACATAGCCGGCTGACCATACTGCAAGTGCCAAGTCAAGTTACTACTCGACTCGACTCCTTGGTACAGCAAGATTCCACTCAATTTTCTTTCCGCTTCCTTCTATTTTGGGTAGCTCTTTCAAACACACTCCACTTCCCATCAATACTCTTTTGTTAGGTTAATGCTTTTGCTTCAGCTGGTACTGCACTGTACAACCGCATTCTCTTCTGTTTGACATGCATACATTTGGGCTCTTCACTGTCGCAAGAGTAGCCGGTATCTGTAGTTGTGGAAATATGCTTGGAAGCCAAAAATTCATCCTGGAGACTGCTGTTGTCAATTTCTGTACTAGCGCTCTACCCAGATTACAACTCGTTCAGAAATTTCCTTGCAATTTATTCTATTGTAAGTTGTTCCGTCTTTGGCTTTGTGGAAGGGACTGCTGCTGGTTTTGGTTTGGATGGCACCGTACTGCAAGGCGAATGGATCGTCGAGGTGGATGAGACCAGGACCGGTCCGTTGTGTCATCCTTTGATTTCACGATGACTTCTCGGAGCCCTCACAAGGTAGAACACTGCCACCGCTGAGAATTGAGACCAATGTTTCCTTTGTACCATTATTCCCATTGCATGTTCCTACAAGTGCCGATCCATTGACGGTAACAATGCACTCTTCATTCTTTGTACTCAAGACTTGCATCGCCGCTTTCAGCAAATCACATTTGTATGCAGACGAGTACAAGTACATCATTCTTACAAAACTGTCAGGTTTCTCGCATCCCCATAGCCATTATAACCAACGCCTCTGATGTTCCAAACCGACATTTCAGGCTGCGTATTGCCTCCTGCATCGGTGGCTCGACTCCAAATGGTCCGATTCGGTCCTCGCTCGACAGTCACCCTCGCTTTCCATATTACCCAAGAGAATTTCGTAGGCTTACTTACAAACTCTGCTGTAATCCAAGATTTCCCACCATTTCCAGATACTTGGACATCGACGACCGGTCCATCATATCCACCCGGTATCGCATACCCTTTCACTTCAACCATACCATCTGCATCAAGCGTCACCGTATCATCTTGAGCAGGATAGGCAATTACTGAATTGATGAGTGACTCTTGCATCGCTGGGACAGTATCCCAGACAGCGCCATCGTTTACGAGAAAATCGTCCTTGGCCTGTACCGTTTCTGGTAGGATTTTGTAATCCCGTCTCTGGTAAACATTCTGAGATTCTTCGTCTTGGACTGTTATCTCATCTAGCCACTTCGTCGCACGAGCTCCGATGATACCTGGTGCGATCATCCTCACTGGGAAGCCGAATCTTGGGGACAAGATTTTACCGTTCCTCTATGAACCTTATCAGATGGCTGCAGTTGATGTCCAAATGTGAAACATACCTCTAATGCTAGAATGACTTCTTTCTCATCGCTGAGAGCTGCATCCAGCGTGATACTGCTCCCAAAATATGTATCATCTTCACAATTTACGCTTCTGCAATTGAACGCGACATGCATCTGCTTTCCATCTTTCGGTACCCCAGTTCCAGCAAGAGCAAGAACATCTCGCACCCTCGGACCTCTCCATCGACAATTCATAGCCGCCCCATCCAGCCAATTGATACCAACGACTTCTTTCTGAAGCGTGCGCATCGTGTGGCGACGATTCCCGGCACATTGGAGAGCTGCCACCACTTCATGTTGAGGAAGTGCTTCGAGGTCTTCGACTGTGAGGTTGAGCTCTTTCGGTACCAGGCCGTTGATTTTGATGATGTGGGTGTCGCGATTGATGCGTGGGATGAGACTGTGGTTTCGATCGTAGGCGACGAGACCATCGCCAGTGAGGAAGCTACATTTACCTGTTAGTAAATTGGCTCTGTGTTATTGGATGGGAATACATACTTGCTGACTAGATCTCGTAGGTTTGGTCTTCCAGGATCACCTGGACCACTGTTGACAATTTCCGAATATCCCTTTTCAACCATTTGATGACTTTGAGGACTGTGGCGGCTGGACCGGAGCTTAGCCCGAGGACCGGACTTCTGGACTTTCATACCGAAGCTCCAGGAAACTTCTTCTTGGTGATTGGATAATTCTATCAATGAGAAGAATATTGGTTCTTAAGTTCAAAAAAAGCCAACAGCTTTGAGAACCAGAGGAGTCGTGCCACTTGTCGAGAGCACGACCGTAGTGGATCGTAACTTCCCTCCTTCATCATACCTAAAAGTCAGTATCCCGATGCTACGCGGCTCTTGAGACACCTCGCCGTCCATCTCACCTTCTAGAAAGGCTGTTCGCTTGTGATCGTGATCAGATGGTGCTCCTAGATCCCGAGTTGAGTAATAGCGTGATTCTAGTCGCCGGTTCGCCGACCGTTACTGGACCCCTCATTCTGCCCCTCACTGTACAGCCGTTTGCGATCCCAATAACGATTCAGTCGGGATTCTGTATTACATAAAGCTCAGAAATGGCTTGATATAACGAATATACGGTGAGGAGGGAATACCTTTTCCAACTTCAGTAGATATTTGGAGCGCAGGGAGAGAGACAGCAAGATTCCAGCGCTCGAGCTGTCTACAGAGAATATGTGCCTGCACATATAATCATAATCGATAACAGCAGACACACAAACCTACATAATTCTACATTTAGTGTTATTGCTGGCGGAACAGACAGTTTGACCTCGAGCGAGGTTTACCCCGCAGTTACCCCGCCCCCTTTTATTCTCGCTTGGATTCCGGGTGCGCAGAGAAATCGCGTTCTTCTCGGAATTGCAATTGCTTCTAAGTAAAATCAGAGGTGACACTGGCAACTTCAATACTGCCACAAATTTATGTATGGAATCGGCGATTCGTTTTCTGTCATTCTTTGCAAGATCGTCACTTCTTTGTATTTTAAGTTGCTGTGTTCATTCTGACTACTCTGAAGAACGATATGCCATGGCACCAATCACCTCTTCTTCCTTCTCTCCTCGGCAGCTAATCTATCACCCCGCTGATGATGTCGAGTCCGAACGATTTCCTCCCAACGAAGCAATCCCATTGCTCAACAATAGTCTCATCACTCGGGACGAAATGATAGTTGCCCAATTGCAACTCTTGCAAGCTAGACAAAATGTTGACAACTTGTCCCACAATACTATCAACACGCTCCTCATCTGTCAATCTCATAGCCCCATCAAGGTCATCGTCCCAGAGGGCATTGTTGTAACCCTGGTGCAGTGTGAGCTTCCGGAGATTTAGACAAACATTCTTGAGGATGGTGGTATAGATAGGAAGAATTCGGCCGAACCCAAGAGGACGTTTGTGCTTATATCTCTCGATTTCTTCTGCGGTGCGGAAGAATCCTTCGATGATGACTTTCGTGATTGTCTGGGCACTTTCCCGGCCAATGGTTCTGAAAAACTTTGTGAGCGGGTCTCGAGACATGAATGATTGATGGCGAGCATTCTTGTCGAACATACGAATAATGGCTTGATCGGTGTTGCGCTGGCTGATAAAGCCATTCTCTCGTGGTAAGCCTGGGACTTGATGACGGAATCTCTCGAAGGCATCGTGCGCATGAATGCCTCTGTGGTGAGTGTAGGGGTCCTGACCACGTGTGTCGAAGACGAAGGTGTTCTCACCATATAGGACAGCCCGGCATTCAGAAAGGATCTGTTTGCAAGTGCCCAGTAGAGAAATGCCTTGGATACCTGCGATTTTCACGACAGTTCTGTTGATGATCTGCACTGGATAGGATCCCCGACGGCAGATGTAATGGCTAACTTGGGCATCCAGATCCTCATTATATGTCCTTCCTGGAAGTTCTTGCTCCTCGTTCAGGCTGTTTGTGCTAACTACCCCAGTCTCGACCAATCTGGCCTGCCTGGTGGTAGGTCTGCTTCGCCAGGAGATTTGGAGATTATCGTAAGAGCCGTCGTACTTTGGCAGGCTCCGCTCTTCGTATCCATTCTGGCGTCGGTCATTCCACTGGTAGGAATAGATAGGCACAACAGGCTTGTTGCGCCAGCCAATGCTACACTTGTATCGGATGGGCCCTGGCACAATGGCTGTTGGGCGGTGAAACAGGATACGGTAGATTATCGTCTTAAGCACTGTTTGTGGTCAGTTATTGTTGCACTTCATGATGTATGAATCACTGACCTAGGGGAAGGATCCTGAGTAGATAGCATGGGTGCTCTCCTGGGTCATCAAAGTCGATGCTGGATTGGTCGTCACTCGATGTATCGTCGATCTCAGTGTCCGAGTCGCCATAGTATCCGCCACCTGGTCGGGGGAACTTGATGGGCTTGCGCCATAGTAGCTCCTTCTTCACCATGTCGCGGGCCTCAGCCTCCGTGTACTTGGGTCTTGCCATGTTCAGAGCTAGACTCGAAGTTGCGTTGCAGTTTGTTGTTGTCTGAAGCAAAAAGTGTTAATGTAGGTGGAGTATGTCGAGAAAGTAGTCTCGAGAAAATGTTGTGGACTGTAGACAGAAAGAGGGAAGCCTCGAGTCGAAATTGATGGTCCTTAAGTACTTTTGCAACCCACCAGCAGACGCTCCATGCAAGCCACTATACTGTGCTGACTAGCTATAGAGGCTGGTAACCTCCGATTCACGCTAACGACCGACATTCCTATCAGCGACTTGCCTAAAATGGACATGTGTCAGTCCTTTCTCTGTCGATTCCTGTATATTAGAACATTATACATATACCAGACTAATCAATAACCACAATTCTTTTCAATAAATCTGTGGCGCTAGCCTGAAAAGTATGCCGAATGCCAATTCAAT